CATTTTTACTGGCGCACCATATATTTTCAGGTCAGCTACTACAGAAGCATGAAAAACCTTAAAACTTAGTTCAATTTAGTGGATGGAAAGGTAACTATGCTATATGCTTGGAATTAGTTGGACAATAAAATCTCATGCAATTGTGGACTTACCATTTTTGAAGTCAAATGCATTCCGTGTTGCATAAGTATCCTTCACCTTCTGGCTGGTCCAGTTGATAAGAACTTTATAGTAAAAATTTGCTTGTATCGTCAATCCTGAGAATGAATACACTCGAGTTAAGAACTCGAAGGCATTGATTGATAAAAAAACAAAAACAAAAATATTCTGACTAACATCACCGTCTTTTCATTATATTATGCAGATAATGAGCTGAGTCGCATACTGTTAATAAAACTTACCACTGACAGTAGATTACGACATATCACCTAACATACAGAAAAGAGAGAAAAAATTGGGGGAGAAATGGGTATTTTTGTGTATATTTATTACTCGGAAGAATTTCATAAATCACGACAGTAGTTTACATGGTGGACAGGATGCAATTGCTGAATTAGAGACAAATCCATTCAGAAATTCAAGCGCTTATAAGAGAAGGATCAAAAAATAGAGCAAGGGAAACATATATAGAATTAAAGGAAATAATAAATGTTCAGTTTTTTGCTTCCTAATATTAAGGATTTAACTAGTAACATAATTTCCATTATGATGTAAGCAGGTCTTATCTAGAACCATTGTAGATGAGAAAGATGATTATTCGGCAAATTCTCCATTCTACCACTTCAGGAATTTCGCTCTTAAGGGTTAGGATTATCCATGAAAATACATCAGGAAGAAAAGACATCACCCCTTAAAACTAGCTGAGTCAAAATTACACTTGATAGTTTCAAGTTGAAAGACAGAAGCAAAGAAGGCATACCTGCTGAGAAATATATTGGAACTTTGAGATTCATTCTCTCCCAGTAGTCATCCAATAGCATACAGAGTTCCTATAAAATGATGATGCCAAAAATATATAATGAAAGATTCAAAATGTGAAATAAATATATATAATGTTTCAGGCTGTAAAGCTCAGCACAAAAAAACTACGTAAACATATCGACCGAAAAAAAAAAGCATTTTGCACACTTCCACATAAATTTTGTGCAGCGAAGATGAATTTTCCATCAAACTCGCATTTTGTTCTTGTGAAACAGGACTAACTTAATTTTGAAGGACAGTAATTATTACTTGACATTTAAAAGATTTTGACCAGTCCCCTATGAGACCATCAACTGATTAATATACTAAGAACAACAAAAACAGTAAAACTTAAAGTCACTGTCCTAAATCAGAAAATAAAACCGAGATGTAATCAGTGATTAATCAACTCAGACCTGAGCTCTCCCCAGAGCGAATGTAGGGATTAGAACTTTCCCACCCCCGGCAACACATTTGTGAACCTGCAAGAAGATTCATCGAGATGTGAATTGCAGCAAATCAAATGACATGTGATGTGATATATAAAAATCATGTGATAGAACAGGTCTGGAAAAAAACATCATAGGACATACAGCTTATAAAGTATTCACAACGAGAAAATTTCACTAAGCAAGTCGTTAAACTGAATTTATTCGCGGAACTTCGATGGTATATAATAGAAGAGAAGCAAAATTTTATCTCCTATTGAAGAAATTCTTGTACATGTAAGATGATTTCACACAGCTAAACAATTAAACTGATACATAAGTTCTTATATTTGGTGAGAGCTTAAGATCTTATTCTTACAAGCCACCATTCGACTGTCACTTAAGAATATATGGATTATAAGTTTGATTTATTTTTTCTCATATGTATTGTGTCTGGCAACCATAAAACTAAAATAAAAGCAATCTCCAGCCAGTTTAACTAATTGATCTTGTTATGTAAATGTGACATTCATGTGCCTGTATTACAAGTTTCACCCCACAGAAAAGAACACACAAAGAAAACAGCTAAGGGTTTAAAAGAATAAGAACAATAAATATATCGTATATATCAGAGAACTTCAGCCCAGTGAAAAAATATACATACTGCTTTCAAGAACTCTCTCTCTCGAACATATTTTGAATCACGATATGTTGTCGCATAAGTGGACCTGTCGATCAAAATTTTCAGAGTTAATACGAATATTATACATAAAGATCAGGATATGCAGATAAAAGGGAGAAACCCTGTTATACTTTCCGGATGGCCACCTGTTCAATTGTCACTTATTCTAGCACATGCAAAAGCCAGACAATCAAACCTTGCTCAGGTAAAACATCTAAGCTCTTGTAGTTGAAATGCATCTGTATTAGAGACATCTAATCACAATAAATAAAGTTATATGGCCCTAAGATCCATTTGCATGACCTCATTTCATGACCAACACATGTTTCCCTTCACATATATATTTGGTAGCCACCAACTAACTTCACAGACATGTAATAAATTTTTAAAAAAAATAAAATAAATAAATAACAAACAGAAAAAGAGAAAAAAGAAAATATCTGTGCTACTACAGATTCAGTGTGTACACTCGTACTTACTCAGTTATCACAAGATCTAGCTGTAGTCTGTCAATTTGAGCTGCTCCAAGGTGTCTATCTGGTGTCATATTGTAATCACCTGTGTACACTATGGCAGCATCTCCAACTTTGGCATAGAACATAGCAGCACCAAGAACCTAAGCAAGCATGTATTGAAAGATCATGGAATCAAATATCGAGCAATACTATAAGGAATATAGGTGTCATATAAAGAAGCATATAGGCATTAAAAATAAAAAAATAAGACTTAAGAATATATTCACAAGGTGGTTGGCTCAATAACAGAAATGCAAAAATTATAATGAGACATCATTAAGAACTAGTGATTTCTGTAAATTAATGCCATGAGTTATAATAATATATATACACACAGTTAGAACTTCGAAATTTATTTTACAAGAATAGTATAATGATCACAACCTAAGGAAGAACCCCAAAGCTAATCTCTACATCAACAAACTTAATGTTAGACGAAAGTAGTAACCTGTGAGATACTACTTACTTCAGGGAGCTTAAACACCAAACTAATACGCATGCAGTTCATGTACTGAGGCCAAAGGTTTAGAATTCTTACATGCCCTGCATAGTATGCTCGGATCTGAAGGTCTTTGTCAACCTGAACTGTCTGCTTAAGATCCACTGGTGTGACTGTTTTGCCGAGAACATAAACACAAGTATAAACACATTATGGAACTGATTAAATAACAGCACAACATAATATTTATATCAATCAAGAAACCCCATTGCAGGTCCATTTTGAAATCACAACTACTAACATGGGAACTAATTAAAGGTTATATTAAGTTACTGTTTGCAGTTAAGACAAAAACGACGCAATGAAGATGCACTATTCTTTAACCTTTTTTCATACACTCAACAATATGCTCAGAGCTAAACTGCTCTTCCTCTCTTCTTCTATCAACCATCACTTTCCGATAATCCTCAAGCATTAATGGGGCCAACGCTTTCGTTGGATACTGCAGAAAAAACTTTCACAATCAAAAAATGTACCAAAAAAAAAAAAACAAATATGAGGGTCCACATATACCGTCATGTAAATGGGGCCCTGATAGCCGCAAACTTGAGTGAAATACGGGAGGGCCCCAATGTGGTCCAAGTGAAAGTGGGTGATGATTATGCACGAAAGCGAGCTCGTGAAGTCGCCGCCGGCGCCGGAAATCAAAGAGAAGTCCGGGTACCGGCGGTGGTCGAGGTAGCCCATGTGCATACCACAGTCGAACATTATCTTCTTCCCGTTTATAGTTACAACCACGCAACTCTTCCCCACTTCTTGTCCCGCGCCTGTGAAATTCACAGTCCCACTCAGTAATTCAAGACACTAGAAAAAAATAAAAAATAAAAAATAAAAAGCGGGCAAAAGAGAGCATTTTCAAAGTGTAAGCATATCTGTAGCTGAGTTCAATTTACCTAGGACGAGGCATTCAATAGCCATGATATTAAGGAGACTCGAAACCGTATCCTAAGATCCCACAAAGCTTCGGACTGAGCTTGTCCCCAAATGACAGTAGACCATACGAGCCAGCCGGAATCACAGGCGGAAATCGAGCACTCTCAAGCGGCTGGTGCCGCGGCTGATCCTCGGCTGCGGTGTTGAGACATGTGGGCTGAGCTGAATTGAAAAAATATTTTCTTCAGCACGACGAGGGTCGAGGTCATGTGAGAAATTCCCAGTTCGTATGTCTGTGTGTTCTGTTGAAGAAGACAAAGATGGAGAGTGCAGTCAACACGGGCCGTGGAGAGGGCCCACCTGCAACCCTCAAAGCCTGGTTTTGGTGGGCCGTATATAAAGAGGACCAAAC